GCCTTGGCGGGATTAATCGGTCAACAAAAGTCGAAAAAAGTAAAAAAAAAAAAAAAAAAAAAAAAGTCAAAAAAAGGTCAAAATTTTTTTAAAATTTTCAAAAAACAAACTTTCTTTTTTTACTCCAAAATTTCAAATATTATACCAAAATGTTCATATTTTGGTATTTCCAAATTTCTAAATTACAATTTTTCTTATTTTCTAATTTTGAAGTACTTGTTTTTTTTCTTAAGATATATTAATATTTATTTAATTTTAATATTTTATTAATAATCTATGATTTCCGATTAATCCTCGATTAATCCCCGTCTAGACCGATTAATCCTTAACACCAGTCGACCGTCGAACTACCGTCAAACGATTTTTACAACCTTGGTTAGTTGTATTATGTTTAACTGATAAATATTTTTGTAACAATTCTAGTTCGTTGAATAAACCATCAACATCGTTGTCTAAGATATGACCGTTTTGCAACCTATTTTAAAGATTTTTTACAGCTTGCCTTTAACTCATTAATATTTAGTGATTTCAACTTTTATGTTGTAAACAAAAAACCAAAATATCTTATTATTGTTTGTATTTTTCAAACATTTGCTCAAATGAACCGATAGTTTGATCAACTATGTATAAAAAATATTAATCTTGAATAACTCTAAAGGTGAAAGTTCATTTACTTGTTTTGATGACCCAACATCACTATCATCACAAATTCACGATAAATTTTTTTAAATTCTTCATTTAATATTTTTCTTAAAAACACCAGATGAATTCCCAAATCAGAAGCAATAACTTTCACACAATCAAAAACCTTCTCAAAACAATATATGAAGTTGCATTTTAGGAGAATAGCAACATCATCAGTGGCGGATCCAGTATCAAAGTAAAGTGTATCCCCAACAAGTAAATGGGTATCCCGACAAAAAAAAAAAAAAAAAAAAAAAAAAACAAACCGCGCAATACACAATAAGAAAAAAAAATTCCGGAAAAAATGACACTATTATTTTTTTTGAGGGTTATCCCGGACTATCCCAGAATATATAGTAAATCCACCATTGAATACCATAACTATATGTTTATCCCATAATTGAAAAAGCCCTAAAATCCGAGACCCCGTGTGAGTACACCTCTCGCACACTCCATGGCCGCCACTGCGTATATGCAATCCGTTAAATAGTCAAATATGTGTTCATAACATCATTCAATATTCTGTTTACTCTTTTCAAGACTCAAAAGATTAAAGAAAATGTTAAGTTCATGGACTGACTAAAATCCCACAAAAAAAAAGATTAAAGAAAAGGTTAACTTCATGGACCGACTAAAAATCTCACAAAAATTAATGTAAAGCTTAGTCAGTTATATTAACGAAAAGGCTAAACTATTTAATAAGTCTAAATAAGAAAAAGATAAAAATTATATATATATATATATATATATATATATATATATATATATATATATATATATATATATATATATATATATATATATATATATATATATATTCAAAGGAATTTTATCACCGAGAAATTACCAAGAGGAGTAAATATAGGAATTACATGTCATTACGTCTTCTTCCCGAGTTTTTTTTTGTAAATTCATTAAAGGAAAGAAAATGAAAATTTTGACAGAAAAAAAGGAAGGTAAAGGAAAATATTTAATATTCTGTGTTCACGAGTTTGAAGAAAATGAAAAGAAAATTTTAAAATTTTTGTGTTTCCCGAGTTAGGAGGAAAAAGAAAATAAAACTTAAAATTTTCCTTCCTCTCTATTTCTTCCCAAATCCACCCAATTTAGAAGGAAAATTTGGAAGGAAAATATGTCTCCAAAATCCTTTCCCTGCCCTCACTTTCATTCCATTAATGAAACTCAGAAACACGATTCTCCTTTAACACCTCTCACTTTCCCTCTGTATCCTCTCATTTCTCTCCTTAAGTAGAACTCGGGAACAAGACGTTAATGCAATACAACTCCACGAGTAGTCGAGTACAATTCATAATTAAACCTTCCCTTTAAGACTCTTGATCTAAAGGTGAGGTGTTATAGCAATTTGATCTCATGTGGTAGCAACCTAAGTTATTTAAAGTTATCCGATATGGGAGGTGGAAGACGCATGGGAGGCTACCGTGTCACCCTCCAAGATGTGTGAACACCGCTCCCAAGGCTGATGCTTTAACTGTGGCATGGATGCGAAAACGGATGATTTGATTGGCCCTTTTTCGACCGTTTGGGTGAGTGGGACTAATTTCGACCATACATATAGCAGTGCTGTAGAAATCGGGCTTGGCAGCTGATTAATCAACGATTAATCGTTTTGTGGTCTTAAACCGATTACGATTAGGGTGCTTGGCGGAAATTGATCAAAATCGGTCAAAGTCGGCCTTAACGGTCCTTGGCGGCCCTTAGCGGTCTCAGCGGTCATAGGCGAGAATTTTTAAAAAAATTCAAACAATTTTAATTTTCAAATATTACAGCAAAATTTTAAATTTTCAAATTTTTAAGCTTTCAAATTTTAAAATATTAAACTAAAGTTTTCAAAATTTTAAATTTTCAAATACTTAGTTTTTTAGGGAATATTAATTTTTTTAAATGATTTTATTAATAATTAAGGGTCCCCGATTAATCCCCGTCTACTCCGATTAATCGTTTATCGTTAGTCGACCGCCGAGCTATCGTCGAACGATTTTTACAACATTGATATATATATATATATATATATATATATATATATATATATATATATATATATATATAATTCAATTACTAACAAATTTCTCTATATATGACATTCGTTTTACATTTCAAACACACACACTCTTTCAACACAAACACATATATTCACCAAAAAATACTCCTTCTTTATATATTTTTATGGATCCAAATCAAAATATCCCACCGATCCAAAACACACCAAATACTCTAAATGATCCATTGGCAAAATCTTAGTTATATGCAATTGATAACATTTCCAATACAACAAGAACCTCTATTAATCAATCTTTCATACCACCCACACTACTACCAACAACATTCTCCGCAATTTCAGCCTCAAAATTCTCAACATCAACAACCTTCACAGCAATCTCAAGTTCCATTATCTCAATTTCAACCTATTATCCTCGACAATGACGACGACGACGACGAACAGGTTGAAGAAACACAACCAAGTTGTAGAAGACAAAAAAAAATCAAAAGATCCAAGGAAAAAGAAAACTACGCAATGGACTGAAGAGGATGAGAAAACTTTAGCTAAAGTTTCGATTTTCATATCATAAGACTGGGTTGTCGGCAACGGACAAATGAATCAAAGTTTTTGAAATCGTGTTTTAGACCACTTCCAAGCGTTATTAGGAAGGTAAACGAGTCGGACATACGACTCAACCAATGCAAAATGGCGTAACCTTTGAGCGGCTTGCATCAAATTTAACGGTGTATTTGACTATATTAAAAATATGCATAGAAATGGTAGCAATGATTTCAACATTTTATCAACCGTGCTGAACCAGTTCAAAATTGCCAACAATGGTAAACCATTTGCCAACCAAAAAGCGTAGAAAGTTTGTCGTAATGATCTAAAATAGGTCATTTATCCGGATATGACACATTCAGGATCTACTACTGGCTCCAACAAAAGACCGAGAATGTCCGAGTTGGACATTTGTGTTAGCCTCGACCTCAATGATGAGTTCGTTGCCACCGAAGGGGAGGATCCACCGGACGTCTAACTTCATCGATCACTGGGAAAGGACAAAGCGAGAAAAAGAGCATCTTCAAACCAAAAATCAACTAACGAGGACGTACTAGCAGAGAAAATATACAAAACTCTAAATTTTTTAAAAAAGAAAATTGAATCAATGGAAGAAGCTCGTCGGCGAAAAATGGAACTCACCGATCTTCAAATTATAAACACAGTGCCGCAACCGAATCTCGATCCGAAAAATTCAAGGGTGTTTTTAAAAATTCAATAAGAAGTTCTAGACAAATATCGCAACTAAATTATATGTATTTTATCCTTTTTAGTAATTTAGTTTTAATTTGCTATGTTTTTTTTAATGTTTTTTTAGTATTTTAGTTTTAATTTTCTATTTTATTTTTTATGTTTTTTTCAGTAATTTAGGTTTAATTTTTTATTTTTTAGGTTTAATTTTTATGTTTTTTAATTAATGTAATGTGGTTTCAATTAATGTAAAGTATTTTTATTATGTTTTTATTTAATTCAATCATAAAATAATAAAAAAAAAAAAACAAATTGTGAAGTGGTAACCATTTCCAATATAATATCAAGTGGGTTGATGGTGAAAGTGATGTGACGGAGATTTGACATCACTTTTCGGTGGGTTGATGGTGACCATTCCCCACGGTCTAAAGATTCTTGGTTGTAGGCTTTGTCTAAAAATAAAAAATGGGCTTCTAAATATATTTTTTTAGAAAAAATCATTAATGTTGTACTAAATGTTATACTAATAGTTGTGGGTTAAATTTCGGGACGATCAAAGCGATAATGAAAAAGTTGAAAATTTTGAATGATCAAGTCTTTTTAGAAATTTCCATGACCGGGTTACCATTTCCTTCGAGGCGAACTTGGTCGAGTCGAGCCAAAAATCAAGAAATGTGTTATGACTTGGTCAAGTCACAAGTCAAGAAAAGTCGATGGATGAGAGACTAAAGTCAAAAGTTCCAAATTTAGACACAAGATTGAAACAAAAATGAAAGTAGATGTCAATATTGCTTAAACCAGGAGACAATTTCTGTGATTTACTCTATTTATAATTTATATAATATAATTCGAAAAAAAAGGCCACAAAAAATTTAATTAAACGGACAATTTCTGTGATTTACTATCAAGTCCATATTATCACAAAATTGCTTTAAAATTTTATTTGTTGCTCATAAAACCGCTTATAAATTTTTGTTTGTTTCTTTTAAGCTATTACTAGAAATTAAATACTTAATCATTTATGGTCCAATATATGATTTAACAATAGGGGATGCATATATGCCCACAAAACTTAATGGGCAAGTACCATGTGAAAAAGTTGTTCTAAATGACAATAGCTAACCAAAAGCCATTACTTTTAAATCTTGATTCTATAATCTTGAGAACGCCCCATTGCTATATAAAGGGTCCCCTTATGTTTCCTACTTATACTCAAGACTAATCCTTTTTCTTTCCCGAAAAAAACATTTGTAACGTAATTCATGTCTACTGAAGATAAGAAGTACTATACACAAAACGCTACTTTTGATGTTAAAGAAAAGCTCAATTTTGTGAGAGATGGAGCCATCAAATTGCCACCAGGGTTTAGGTTTCAACCCACTGATCAAGAGATTGTGTTTCAATATCTGGTTCGTAAGGTCTTCTCTTGTCCGTTGCCTGCCTCCATCATCCCTGAAATCATCAACATTTGCAAGTTCAATCCTTGGGATTTACCAGGTTAGAATTGTTATAAAACCAAAGAAAACCCTAAAAACTCTAAATGGTGGATCACAATTTTATAAGTCTTATATAATTTTTGGGTTAACTGCAAACAGTTTTTGCTAGATAGCTTATTATTTTACTGATCAATACAAAAAGAAATTATTATATATAAAGTTTACCACTTTTTTTTATTATTTTATGTAAAATTTGTCATTTTTACCATCTTATGTAAGATTTGCATTAAATGATTTTATATATTTTACTGTTGACCTTAGTTAATTAAAAAAAAAAACTTGCTTATTTTATTTTGGAAATATGTTCATAGGTGAGTGGGAGCAAGAAAGATACTTCTTTAGCAAGAAGGAGGCCAAGTATGGGCAAGGAAATAGAGTAAATAGAAAGAGTGGTGATGGGTATTGGAAAGCAACTGGTTTTGATAAGCATATCACCAGATGTTGCAGTAACAATACCATTTCAAGAAAGAAAGATACCATAACAGGGATGAAGAAGACGCTCGTTTTCTATAAAAACAAACCATCAACGACTAGAACTCATTGGATCATGCATGAGTATCACCTTGTTCATTCACCTGCTTCACCGACAACCACCACCAACGATAAGGTAACATTCTTGAACTAAATTGTACAAAAAGAATCTGTTCAAGAAGCCAAAAGCGTATGATCATACATTCATACTCATTTTTAAATGATGTTGGATGTCTTAATTTTGATATGCAGAAATCTTGGATTCAGTTGGGAAATTGGGTTTTGTGTCATGTATTGTTGAACAAAAGAAGTCGAAAATCCTTTGTAGATTATACTGGGAAGAGGTTGGGCTCACAGGAACAAATGCGTCCAAATTTTACGAATGATGATGATGATGATGATGATGATGATGGAATTTCAATCAATTGCGACGAAACTACTTCATCTTCTTCATCATGTGGTTCTAGTGTGGTTACTCAAGAAGAGTCCTCGAGTAGAGAGCTATTAGATGATGAAGAAACGAATTAAGAATGAGTAGTTTAATCTAATTAATGTAACCTTTATCATTTAAGAAAATGAGTTGTCGAGAGGAAATGACTAGTTTTAAAATGTAATATATATAGTTCAAGAATTTGCTTGTATATTACATCACTGATTATTGCTACAATTGAATTAACATATTCATAATTTATATCATATATTTGATGGAAGTGAAAATTAGCAGATTGCATGATCAGAATATATTTTGACGATACGTGTTAATATACCTGTCGATATATATTTAATGGTGGTAGGAGTAGAACCTCTTCAACCTATTCAATCCAATGTCACATCTGCTTTATATCAGTTTTTCTATATCCCAATCCACAACACATGGAAACAGTCTTTTTCTCAACCCACAAAACATGGGTGTGAATATGGCTTATGTTGCTGCTATGGAAGATTAGGTATTGTGAATCTGATAATCTCCTTTTTGTAAGGCTCTGATTCAACTTCATGTTCATTTGTTTTCTGTCATTTTTTTAGGTTTTAATTATAATGATTTCTTGATTGATAGGTTGGAATTTGCATGTTTTTAGGCCTTTGCAATGGCTTCTCTATTATAATTACAGATTATATATTATTATAGGGTTGAATGCATAATTATGCAATCTATTTTCACTTTCTTTTTACCAATTTATACAAAAAATGGTTTCAAGTACACTGTATTTATTTATCTAGAACTTATGTTTTGGTGTTTTGGCTCTTTAGGTCCTAAAAATGTGAAAATAGTTTTTTATATTTTCATTAGTTTTTCTAAATTTTCAGGGTAAAATTGGTTGATGTGCAGGTCTTCATATAATCAAAAAGCATATCAGAAGCTGAGTATGTAAACATAAGGAGCTAAATTTTATCCGTGTTTTTGAAGTATCCATTTCAACATGTGGTCGTAGAATCCTTGAATAGGGTCTACAAACTTTCATATTTAACATAATCATGCGAAATTTAGGGAAGTTGATATTATTTATAACTTATAAGATCATAAATTGGTCATATTCTTTATGCAATTCATAAGGGCATCAATGGGTTCATTAGAGTTGCATTTACAAACCCAAATAGTCGAATTGGAATGCCAAGCAACAAGAAGCTTTTAGACCAAATTGTAACGTCTCAAAAATTCATAGTAAAATTTCTATTTTTTTAAACCATAAACAATACATACGAGTTGTTCCAAAAACAACCGAAGTAATTATATCATTTATACATCAGAGTAAAAGTCATAAAAAGCTAATGCGGAAAACGTGGGGGGATTCCGTGCATTCACTCCGGGTCCTTCCCTTTCGTATCAGAAGTACCTGAAACTATGAATATAAAACCGTTAGTACAAACCTTAGTGAGTTCCCAAAATACCACATACCATACATACAATACAGATTGCTTTGTGCCAACCATAGTCTTGTCATTATGCCATAAGACGTATCATGGTCTTTCCTTGCTAGGTCGGGGACAAAACTATGTGTCTTATAGACAAGTGTCGAGAGCCATCTCCTGGTCTTCAATGCAACTATCACAAAGACAGCTAGCATACTACATATAACTTCCAGGGTCTGGTCCCTGGTCTTGCATACAATTTGCCGGGAGACACCACCAAGTGTTTCATACAAATGTCAGGGGTCACCCCTGGTCTTCCTATATAACATAAATCAGTGCACTGGTGTTGGTACCTTCGGCCCATGAGTACAGTGAGGAGACTCACCTAAATCATGATGCTGACTAAAACCTCACGCAACGCCGCATCAATCATAGCCAACAACTCTCCCTGCCAAAAAAGGGGTATTAAACTGTGACATCCCCATTTTCACGCCAGAAAAGACCGATTTTGTTTATGCTTTATAAAAATCAGAGCACTTCTTTTCATAAAAAATATTGCGGAATTTGTTCCCAGAAAATACGATCAATACGTTATCAAAACATTTTCGAAGAAACGTATTTTATTCATTTTAAAACGTTTGGGATGTCATTGTCAATACAGGAACATAAGCATAAACGGAACTTACATTTATTTACACTAGTGATCTACATCTCTTTAATCTCTCAGTGTAATGTCACTTCATATCGACACCTGTGATATAAATAAACTGAGTGGGTCAGGTTGGGAAACCTAGTGAGTACATAGGGTTTTCAACCCACAATAATATAATTATTATGTTTAATCATCAAACAGTTAACCCAATTACCCATCCGCATTATCTTCTTTATTCTTAAGGATCTACCATAAGAATCAGTTATTTCTTGTTCATTCATTACTAAGGAGTATCCTAAGGAATAGGTACGAATTCCATCGTTGTAAATGACACATCTGTCAAGCCCAACTGCTAGATCTGTCACTTAGGCGCAACTGCCAAAATTGTGACATTCTCTATGGGGTGCATCTGCTGGAATAGTCCTTTAGGCGCATCTGCCAGGGTTATGAGATTCTCTATTAGGCGCTTCTACCGGTAGAGTCCTTTAGGTGCATCTGATGGGTTTTATTAACAATATTGTTTTTGAGAGTCCACTCGCAATACATCTCAATGGGTTTTTAGAGTACACCGGTGAACACATGGTTGACAACACCTACAGGTTGCGAGTCTGCTAGTGTTCCACTGGACTGTCTAGAATAGTCTGTGGTTGTCATCCATACTCTGCTGAATGATGGGGCCATCATTTGGGAAAAAGGCTTCTCACATCGTCCACCTCTCACCCTCACCTCACGGTCTATTTTACCTCTCAACTCATCATCCAACTCATATTTCATCAATTACATCTACCCATGTCTTACCCCTACATTTTCGTAGATATAAAATACATATACAGTTTAAATCATTTAAAACGTGTATAAAATTCTTCATCCAGCATAGATAGCAAGTATTCAGATAATATGCACACATAGCACGTAATTTATATAAAATACTTCAAATCTATGTGTAAACTGAAAGTAACTATGCACTCACTTGAAAGGTGGTGACTTAGCACTCGGACAGCACTTCGATACTCTCAAAACAATTTTCCTTCGATAAAACCTAGTATCAATACCACTAGGGTTTAGTCTAATGATAACCGCGATAATTAATAGTCTGACTATTATTACTATTATATAAGCGTTAAACGATACTTATATAACTTATAATAATAGTCCAAATAGTTATTTTAAGGACCTAATAACATTACTATAATTATTTGGAAGCTATATTAAAAATTGCGTAAGCGTAGCTCACTTATAGCGGATTTTAAAGAAAACCGGGCTTTGCTCGGAGCAGCGTTTCCAAAACCGAAAGACCTTTTTTCTCGGGACTCCGAGAGCCTCGAGGCTTCCTTAGGGTGCTAGGGGATCACCTAGGCTGAGGGGAGGGTTAAAACCCTTAGAGAGAGAAAGTTTATATATATATATATATATATATATATATATATATATATATATATATATATATATATATATATATATATATATATATATATATATATATATATGAGAAAGGTGTAAGAAATTCGGACCCCTTTTATAGGCGCTAGCAGCCTCGGTTACGCTGGGCATACACCTCGGATAAGGTTGCCAGCCGAAGCCAGTTGTCTCGCACCGTCGGATGGATCAGATCGGAGCTATGCAGGGTGTAACTTCTTTGGATGCGGTGCGTACTGCGAGAGTGACGTGTCACGATCCGAAGCGAAGCCTTGGTCAACAAGCAATTGCCCAGATGCAGCCACGTCATCCATCTCGCAACAGGTCTCGCAAATTTACTTTCCGACTTCTAAAAATCATACCTTTCACATACAAGCTCCGCTTTTGATGTTCTTTATATCCACGTGAATGTGGGAACGTACTCTACAACTTTCGTTTAGACACCGTCGGCTAATTTTGACTTTATTTTAAAATTTATATTATTAACAGGCCGGGATAGGATTGGTCCGTTAAATTCTCATAACTTCTTCATCCGATGTCCGTTTTCGCCCATCTTTTCCTCGTTATGCTACTCTTAACGAGATCTTCAATTCTCGTTCAGGTCGTGTTGGCTAAAAACCGCTCGATCTAATATTCGAATTTCGGGCTATACACTGCTAATCCGAAACTTCGAAAAATCATAATTTCTTCATACGAAGTCAGATTTGGGCGTTCTTTGTATGGATTTTTCTCGTCTTAACATATTATACGACTTTCATTTAAATCATTAAGGCTAAATTTCGCTCTATCGTAAATTCACTATTTATGCTTCCCGATATTGTGTCGGTTTCGTCGCGAAACTTCAACGGGTTATGACTTCTTCGTTATAACTCGGATTTCGGCGCTCTTTATATGTACGGAAACCTTGTAACATATAATACAACTTGGTTCAAATTATTTATTCTAAATAATCTTTTGTCGAAAAGTCGTTTTCGACACTTATTGCCTCTAAATTGAGTAGCCCGGATCTACGGGCGTTACAATTATCTCCCCCTTAGGATGATTATCTCTCGAAATCATCAACGAAATAGGGTAGTATAATAACTCCAAACGTTATCTATTCATCCTAGGTAATAATCGTAACTTCCTTGTTTCTTCGAATAAGTATCTAACTCTTAGACTCCTTAACTGTAAGCAGTGCTCGATCTTGCACTTGCTCCCTATCTCACGTTAGACTCCAGATTATGACCTTCAAGTCACAATCTTGATCCTCACTGGATACGAACTTAAGATAAGTTCTTTTATTACTGCAATGGAACGATGTGTTATATTCTAATGACCTATTATCGTCTGTTCCAACGCTTAGACTCAGGTCTCTTAGAGTCTTCCAGAACATATTATACCTTCCATCATGTTCTAATGTGATATAATCACAACTTAAAAGGTAGCATTTCTAGCTACAACCAACTATCATGATACCTTCTGTTTCAAAAAAAAACTATCATGATACCTCTAATGATCGCTTTGATTATCTTTTATTTCAATCTTCCGGCTTAAGTTAGATGCTACATTGGACTTGGTTCTCTGAACCATGTAACATACTCGTCTTAGTGGGACTCAATTTCATATGACCACTAGGGTCGAAATAACAATCATCTTTTTAGTCATTACCGAAACAATGGTAACAACATACTTGAATAAAACAAAATCAATTACTAGTTTCTTGGTAACCTTGTGACTTTCCCTAATCCAAGAGTGAGTCATGTGCTTCCGGTAGTATATGCATCTACTACCTTTCACACCTACACATAGTCGTCCCAAGTATTGTCTCGCAGTTTTCCAAGTCACCATACAAGAAAATCACATAATAGTTTAACACATGAGATAACAAAACGAAGGCTTTATTATTTCTTGAAACTATTACATAGGTGTTCAAGTTCACCCTAGACTATGCCTCTAATAGGCTACATCATACAATACTATGGCTACTGCATAACTTGATCTTTGGATATGAAGTCTTCATCCTTGATTCCTCGCGTAGTTTTCTGTTTCGTCGAGGGTCATGTGAAATGCCCTTGGCCTTGGTGGCATGTTTGGCCTTGCTGATTCATTCTTCTTTGGGCAATTCTTTGAAAGATGCCCCCTTCTTTACATTCATAACACAACCTCTTGTTGGATGTACACTCATTGATGTA